TGTATTTTTAGTAGAGACAGGGTTTCGCCACATTGGCCAGGCTGGTCTCAAACTCCTGACCTCAGGTGATCCGCCTGCCTCGGCCTCCCAAAGTGCTGGAATTGCAGGTGTGAGCCATCGCACCCAGACAAGGTGATTATTTTTAAAATATACATATTCTAACATCACATAAGGCTTGAATAATAATTTTTTATAAATCACTTATCAAACAAAAAATATAAAATAAATAAAAATCACTTATCAGCTCACCACCCAACACAATCGCTAGTACCATTTTTGTTATTATATCACTTAATAATCAACCAACAGCTCAGCTATTTCTCAAAGCCAAACTTTTTAAAATTAAAAGCTACCTTCCGCATAGAAGGATATTTGTTATAAGGCATGTATCTAATAACTTGAAAAGGTTATTTAACTGTTTAAAAAATGTGGTGCTTTTGAAAAGATTTTACAAAAACAAAACAAAAATAGAGAAGCTTAGAAAGAAAATACATAAATAAAATAAGGTGGTGCAAGTAAACTAGGTGATACTGCCTTGTTTTACTGTGTATAATTCTAATTTCACTTATTAAGACCAATCTTTCCCTATAGTAGTACTATAACATACAGACTTTGTTTGATAAAGTCTTAAAGAGTCCATGAATTGCACTCCGATTATACAGCTTGGTTCAAGAAGTCCTCTAAAAATCTTAACCTTATTCTTATGGTTTCTTCTAAGTTATGGCAGTGATTGAGAAGAACACTTGTGCCTAAAACCTGTTTGCTCCTAACATAATCTATTAAGTGGAAAAACCTAGTTCAGCAATTTAGAGAGTAATACTCCTTGTTCTCTCCCTCTAGTTAATGGAGTGTTCTCCAAATGGCTTTGGGCCAATCATTCTCTCAGCTGTTTTGGTGAGGCCAGAAGACTGGCTATGTCTATCCAAATAAGTGAGAAAACTAGCTTTTCTTTTCCCTTTCCTTTAAGGTCAGGCATAAGTGTATCCAATTGACATGGAATGTGAAGAAACACCCAAAGTGAATCTGCAAGGTGGATAGTATTCTTAAGAAAATCTGAAGAATTTAGATTATGGAGATACTGGCAAGTGCAAAATACATGGGATGAACTAACCACAACCAGAAAATACAGCTCTCAGGAAAACCCTAGGCAACCAAAGTTCAAGTCTTCCTCCTCTCAGCTAGTACAGAATAACCAAATAAACCAAAGTTATTTACAAATATTGAAGAAAATAGAGTCAAAATTTTAGAATATCTAAAAGTTTTTTTTAAAGCCAGGTGAGAGATCTTGTCAGCAACAATTTAAAAGAACAATAATACCCAGAGCTGGGCAAGTTACTCTGCATCTTTACTGTAGTTTCCTTCTCTGTAAAATAGGGATAGTAAGAGTTATTCCTCATAACAGTTTTAAGGGGATTAAACACAATGTATACTAAATGCTTAGCAGGGAAACTAGCACATGTTAGGCATTCACTATACATTAAATATTATGGCTGGGTGCGGTAGCTCATGCCTATAATCCCAGCACTTTGGGAGGCCGAGGTAGGGGAATCACCTGAGGTCAGGAGTTTGAAACCAGCCTGGCCAACATGGTGAAACCCCGTCTCTACTAAAACTACAAAATATTAGCCGGGTGTGGTGGCGCATGCCTGTAATTCCAGCTATTCAGGAGGCTGAGGCAGAACTGCTTGAACCTGAGTGGCGGAGGTTGCAGTGAGCTGAGATCGCACCACTGCACTCCTGGTCAACAAGAGTGAAATTCATCTCAAAAAATAAATACATAAATATTATTAATATTGTATTATTGCTGACGAGACACATTGGTTCAACTTTTCTGGGGAGTAATCTGGCAATAGGTATCAAAAGCCTGAAAAATGGTATCTACCCTTTAACCTAATAATTACCTTCCTAGGGATTTATTTTAGGGAAATAATCAGAAATGGTCAAAGATTTATGTTCATGGATTTTCATATAAAAGCATTAGATCAAAAACTAGAAATGTCCAGTAAGAATTTGGTTATATAAGCTGGGTGCGGTGGCTCACGCCTGTAATCCCAACACTTTGGGAGGCCAAGGCGGGCGGATCACGAGGTCAGGAGTTCAAGACCAGCCTGGCCAATATAGTGAAACCCTGTTTCTACTAAAAATACGAAAAATTAGACGGGCATGGTGGCGGGTGCCTGTAATCCCAGGTACTCGGTGGGGCTGAGGCAGGAGAACTGCTTGAACCTGGGAGGCAGAGGTTGCAGTGACCCCCGAGATCACGCCATTGCACTCCAGCCCGGGTGACAGTGCGAGACTCCGTCTCAAAAAAAAAAAAAAGAATTTGGTTATATAAAACTATGGCATAATCATAAGGTAAGACTATATAGCTATTTAAAATAACATAAACTAGCCCACCTCAGTGGTACGTGCCTCTATTCTCAACTACTTGAGAGGCAGAGGCAGGCAGATCACTTGAGCCTGGGAGTTTGCGCATGCAGTGTGCTATGATTGTGCCTGTGAGTAGCTATTGGACTCCAGCCTGGGCAACATAGTGAGACCTCATCTCTAAAAAATAAATTAAAATATTTAATAATAAAAAAAAGAAAATCATATATACTAAGTATTAAAGGGAGAAACTGTTCAAAATACATTGCTAAGTGAAGAGAGCTATAAATGTATTAAACATTCTTGAAAAAGTGTATCTTACACAAATATCTGGGGAGTCAGAAATGATAATGTGACATTTATGTCAGGTGGTGAAATTAAGAGGCATATCTTCTCCCTTCTGTGTTCTACATTTTCCACATTTTCTGCAATACCATCACCACCCCTTCTTGTCAACATTTATTGTTGTACTTATGTTTTGGACAAGATCCTAAGAACTTTACTCCTAGCTCATTCAATCCTCATAATAACTGTATGGGTAGGTACTACTTTACAGATTACTGGGGCAAAGAAAGGTTAAGGATTCAGATCCAAGTTTTCTGATTTCAGCACTTTTAACACCCACCCCCTCTGTGTGTGTGTGTGTGTGTTTCCTAAATAACCAGACAGCCAAGGATGATCCTTATGTTAGAAGAAAAGCTACTCTGCTCAAGAAAGCATCAACTAAGAGTCACCTGGGGGAGCAGTTATAGGAAGCAGTTACCATTTCTTCAGTGTAGGAAAAACAAAGATGGGGGGAACTCCATAAAAAAAAAAATTGTGATTATGTTCAATGAAGATTTCAGAATATCTAGGAACCAAGAAGTTAATGATAAAGCCAAAAACAAGGAAATCTAACCGGTCAGCAATTATCCATCCTGGACTTAATAGAAATCAATCAGTCAAAAACTAAGTTGTCCTCCCCCTCTCCTCTCCTAATATATCTTCAGGTTCTGGGGTGCTGCATTATGCAGAGGGCAGAAGGATTAACACAAGGAGAAAATAAAGCTTTCAAGCCTTCACATTTTTCCTAGAGGCATAGGAAAAGGATTAAATATCCACAGGGGCCAAAGAAAACCTCTAAATGAAAAACATTATTGTCCCCTAACTATATTGCCAATCACAAAGTCTAGTCCTGTTTTGTATTCTTTATTAAGGCCCATGAGCCATAATGGTTTGGAAAAATCTAAAGACAGCAGTTTGTAAGCCTCTGTTGACTAAGGTATTGCCTGGTTACAGATGGCAATGTTTACACTATCATTTGCATCACAATCAGTAGCACAATAATTCGGGAAGAAGCTGTCCATTATCGATGACATTACTTTATCAGCTGGGTCTAAAAGAGATAAGGGGAGTCACACTTGGAAATCAGTACAAAGAAAGCAAAAAAGTCAGCAAAAGCATTTAGGAAAAAAATATTCGAAATATTCTTACCGATTATTAGGTGAAAACTTTCCCCTTAACAGATCTGTAAGATTGTGGGCAGAGCCCTGATTTAATCGATAGGGTAACAACAAAATACAAATTACACCTATCAGAAACTACAGATCCCACACTTAGGTGGAGGGGGCACTGAAATAATCAGGTAACCAAGTTATCTCTAAAACAGTCCCATGGTGCCGGTAGAGGGTGTAAGTCAGGGAAGGAAGCAAGTTTTACTGGCAAGGCAATGGAAAAAATGCAAGTTGCAATGCACTGTCCAATCCTGGTCTTCCACTACATTAGCTGTCCTCAATTATCTTTAACATTCAGGTATAAAATTGCTTCCTAAATTCCCTACACAGAGCTTAAGAAGTAGCCAAGTTCAGGATGGACTCGGTTACTGAAAAATACGCTTTTGCATTATCTGTACCACTAGCTGCACTGGGGAAGGTCAAAGATTCCAGAATTGAGGTTTCCAAGATTTTCTGGATGGCTCAAGCTGAGATGCTGGCTATCAAGGATGCAGAGTCAACGCATCACTTTAACCAATCGAGTATATTTATGGCTCCGATTACTCAGGTGGATGATTCATAAGATGAGAAAAGCCAACGCTTGCTGATCTAAGGGAAGTCGTAATAATTTTGGCGCCTGCAGTACATAACGTCAGTTTCTCTCAACACGAAGCCGAACAGACCAACACCATTTCGAATTAAAAAGCTGCTTCTTGGACTCTAGGAGAAGAAAGACCAGGAGAGCTCAGTACGCAGGTAGGCTCTCTAAATGCAAGCTAGTCCAAGAGCTGAAGCAACCCCGTCCAGCCTGGGTGGCCCAACAGCAAAGCCAAGCCACGTGTCCCTACCGCCCTGGCTAAGCGTCGATCCCCTCTCGTCGCTCTATGCAGTCACTATCTATTGGGTCCCCCAGCCCTTGCCCTCAAACGCAGAAGCTTCGCCTCACGCTCCATCTTTTGACTCCACCCCACGGCATGGTAAGAATGAACGTGACCCTCGCGCGAGAGGTAAAATAACGGAAACAGCCCGTGGGGTAGGCTAGTCACAGAGCTGCACCCTCTCCCTCCTCCCCCAGTCTGAGTTCAAGCGGCGACCCCATCCCTCCTGTCCTCCGCCGCCTGTGCAGGTGAGGTCTAGTCGGGGTCCCAACTTGGTCCTTACCAGGTCTCCTGGTTGCTGAATTTCTTCGTCACCACCTTGCCTAGCTCCAGGCCCAGGCGGTCAGCAATTTTCTGAGATAAATCCTGGTGGGAGCTGCCGCTGAAGATTTTGATATTCGGCATTCTGGCCAACTACCCTAAGCACTCCGCTAAGCGATCGCGGATGCTGCAGAGACGGGAACCGCAGTCGGCCAGAGACTCAATACTAAGCGCTTTGCGTTGCTACTCCGCCATCTTACATTCCCGCCCGGCGCGCGGCTCTAAATTACCCAGGGCGGCGGAGGTGGGGTCAGCAGCGAAGTCCACACCCAGCTGGCAACGATTAGCTAAGAGGGAGCGAAGGGCGGGGTTTGGTCCTCACTGTAGCTCTGCCTCCTTCTGATTCTCTCAGGTATTGGCTGAAGAGCATGAACGGGGACGAGTCTAACCCATAGCCCGGCCCCTTGTAGCTAGGCGGTCGGGCACAGGAGACGTTGGACTAGGGGTGGAGGGATGCTCGTGACGTCTGGGGCCACATCGTTCCCGCTAGCGGGAAATCAATCATGCCTGCTTCTTTATTTCCCCTCCCTCAGCTCAGGAAAGTAAGTCTGGCTCTGGTTTAGAGTTTCCTTTAAGAAAATCTGTTTATCAGGATGACAGCCACGAGTTTGCATGTTTCTGAACACATTTTTTATCTCTTTATAAGGATAGGGCTGAATTAAAACGTTTTTACATCACAGACGTGCATGCAAAGAGTTTGCTTGCCCATTGTAATTGCAGTGTCGCCTTTGCCTGCAAGACAGTTTCCAAGGGGGAAGTGACTGAAGGCATGCCACCTGAATCATCCAAGAGACACTGCAAGAGAAAGTTGTTTTGTTTCTAGTGCTGGAACCAAGTATGTTGAGACAAGTGAAGGAGGATGGATTTTCCAAACTATCTGGACAATAAAGATCTAACTTTTATAGCCCTTGGAAAGGAAATACAGTGTTCTATGGGACTTCAGATAAAGAGCCCTGAAGGGACTGAAAAAAACCAGGGTTTTAGTCCTGTCTGCCTCATGTAAGCCTCAATGTCATCATCTACATGTTGCTAATGTGGCCTTTTACACCATGTTTTATTATTTTTATAGTGATACTTGTTAATTGGACCTAAGTGAGCCTTTATTCTTGCACCACGTTTCCATTAAGCATATTTCAAGCATGGGTTAGGAGAAGATAAAAATCATACAATTCTGGAATCAAAAGTGACCATTGTGCTCAAAACTACCAAATGTAAAAATAGAAGGGACCTCAGAGATCATATAGTCGTTTTACATATGATAAAACTGAGATGGAGGTGGGAGAGGGATTTATCTAAGTGGCAAAGGCAGAAAATACTCAAAGCAGCATCCTATCTTTGTCTTACCGCTATTTTCAGCAGTGTCCATGGAGGACTTCTCCTGACCTTTTGTTGCACGTTCACAAGCTCAGAAATTTAATGTAAGCCCATGTATGTAGGAATACTCAGAGAATGAAGTAAACTGCAAGGTAGAATATTAGTCTTCCATCATAGGCCATTCATCAAATATTTACTGAGTGTTCTATTGCATACAAGGCAGTGTGCTAGGCATTGAGGGGACTACAAAGTATTTGCCCCAAGGGATTCGTTCATTCAATAAACATTTAGTGAACATTCTTTATGTGCTAGGCCCTGTTTATTAGCACAAGAATATTAGCACAAGAATACAGTAGTAAACAATTAAAAATACCCTGCTCTCATGGAGTTTACGTTCTCAAGCAATAAACATGTAAATAAGCAAAATACGTAGTATGTCAAATGGCAGTAAGTGCTGTGGAAAAAAAATCAGGCAAGGAAGGTGCGATAATGTGCCAGAGTGTAGAGGAGAGGAGTACAATTTTAAGCAGGGTGGTCAGAGAAGACCTGTCTGGGAAGGTAACATTCAGGCAAAGACTTGAAGGAGGAAAAAAAAAAAACAAAGAATGAGCCATGCTGATATCTCGATAAGCAAAGAGAACACCAAGGGCAAATACCCTAAGGCAGATGTATCTCGCTTGTTTGAGGAATACCAATGCGGGGCCAGTGTTGTGTGGTGGAGGTGGAATGTGTCTATAAAAGGAGGAAAGTGAGGTCAGTGAGATAAGAGTGACTGGAGGCCAGCACGGCATGGTGGCTCACGCCTGTAATCCCAGCACTTGGGGGCGCAGAGGCGGGCGGATCACTTGAGCTCAGGAGTTCAAGACCGGCCTGGGCAACGTGGCGAAACCTCGTCTCTACAAAAAATACAAAAATTAGCCAGGCGTGGTCATGGGCACCTGTAGTCCCACTGAGGCAAGAGAATCACTTGAACTTGGGAGGCGGAGGTTGCTGCAGTGAATGGAGATCACACCACTGCACTCCAGCCTGGGCGACAAAGTGAGATTCTGTCTAAACAAAACAAAACAGTGACTGGGGGACTCAGGTGGGCGCGATGGCTCATGCCTGTAAAACTCAGTACTTTGGGAGGCCGAGGCAGGCAGATCGCTTGAGCTAAGGATTTGCAGACCAGTCTGGGCAACATGGCAAAACCTTGTCTTTACAAAAAATACAAAAATTAGCCGGGCATGGTAGCAAGCACCTGTAGTCCCAGCTTCTGGGGAGTATGAGGTGAGAGGATCACTTGAGCCTGGGAGGCAGAGATTGCAGTAAGCCGAGATTGCGCCACTGCCTTCCAGCCTAGGCGACAGAGAGAGACCCTGTCTCAAAAAAAAAAAAAAAAAAGTGATCGTGGGGAGAGTGCTGATCATGCAGAACCTTATAGGTTATTTTAGGGGTTTTTGCTTTTACTGAATAAGAATTTTTAGCAAAGAGTGACATGATCTAACTTCCCTTTTAAAAAGATCACCCCAGCTACTGAGAACAGAGTGTAGGAGGCAAGATAGGAAGCAGGAAGACCGATTAGGAGTTAACTTCCAAAGAAAGTTGGTAAGACATTTATACAAACAATTACAAAGCACAGACAGTGTAATACACTACCATAGAGAAGCCTGTGCTTGGATAACGTGGAGGCTGCTATAACAAGGAGACTCTAAAATATAGCGGCTTTAGTAAGACAAATTATTTCTCTCTTGCATAACAGGTTGGCTGGTCTAAGCCAGTGGGATGATTCTGCTCCATGCTAGGTCATGGACACATCCACATTCTAGCTCAGAGAAGAGGTCTAGGCAAGGGATTTCCTTTTAAGCAAGTGAGATGAAATTTGTCCATCCCACTTTGTCACATCCCTTTGGCAAGAGCGCAGTCACAATTCGCACCTAACTGCAAGAAAGACTAGGAAATGTTTTGATAGGTGGCCCCGTTCCCAGAAAGAAGAGAAAGTGAATTTTGGGTATGCAACTAGAAGTCTCCTATAAGTCCCAAGTAAAATGCTGTGCAGGTCCAGAGGTAGAAGATATCACCTCTGCATGGAGTATCCTGGGAAATATTTTTGGAGGTAGAGCACACGAACTAGGCTTTGATTGATGAGTAGGGTTTTGACAGGCAATGATTGGGAGGAGGTGGCTCTTCTAGGCAGAAAGAAAAGATGAGGAAGCAGAGAGAGGTTTTGAAGAAGAGAAAATAGTTTAGTTTTGCTGGAATATCAAGTACCATATTGGGACTTCATTCAGCAAGCAATAGGAAGCCATTGACTGTTCTGGAGTAAGAGCATGACACGATCATAACTGTGCTTTAGGTAAACTTTTCTGTGTAGGGTGAAGAATAGGGAAGAGATTGGAGGCAGGCAAACCAGATTGGGAGAGCAAGTTAGTAATGTCATTAACTATGCCAGTAGCTGTAGGGTTTGAGAAGAGGAATGGTAAAGACATTGTGAATCTCAACCTTTTAGAGATTATGGACCCCTTTGAGAATTTTATGACCACTATAGATCCTCTCTCCAGACACAAGTATTCCTCACTTTATTGCACTTTACTTTATTGTGCTTTGCAGATACTGCATTTTTTACAACTTGAAGGTTTATGGCAACCCTCTATTGAGCAAGTCTATTGATGCCATTTTTCCAAGAGCATGTGCTCATTTTGTGATTCTTTGTCACATTTTGGTAATTTTTGCAATATTTCAAGCTTTATTATTATTATTATTTTATATCTGTTATGGTGATCTATGATCAGTGGTCTTTGATGCTACTATTGTGATCGTTTTGGGATGCCATGAACCATGCCTATGTAAGACAGGGAACTTAATTGATAAATGTTGTGTGTGTTCTATGTTGTGACTGTTCCACTGACCAGCCATTCCTCCATTTCCCTTTCTCTCCTCATGCCTTCTTATTCTCCGAGGGACAACACTATTGAAAGTAGGCTAATTAATAACCCTGCTGTGCCCTCTAAGTGTTCAAGTAAAAGGAAGTGTTGCACGTCTCTCACTTTAAATCAAAAGCTAAAAATGATTAAGCTGAGTGAGGAAGACATGTCAAAAGCTGAGACAGGCTGAAAGCTAGGTCTCTTGTGCTAGTTAACCAAGTTGTGAATGCAAAGGAAAAGTTCTTGAAGGAAATGAATAGTGCTACTCCAGTGAACACATGAATGATAAGAAAGCAAAACAGCTCTACTGACAATATGGAGAAAGTTTGAGTGGTCCGAATAGATCAACCCAGCCACAAAATTCTCTTAAGGCAAAGCCTAACCCAGAGCAAGGCCCTAACTCCCTTCATTTCTGCGAAGGCTGGGAGACATGAAGAAGCTGCAGAAGAAAAGTATGAAGTTAACAGAGGTTGGTTTATGAGGTTTAAGGAAAGAAGCCATCTCTGTAACATAAACGTGCAAGGTGAAGCAGCAAGTGCTGATGTAGGAGCTGCAGCAAGTTACCCAGAACATCTAGCTAAGATTATTGATAAAGATGGCTATACTAAACAACAGATTTTCAGTGTAGACGGTAAAAGCCTTCTATTCAAAGAAAATGCCATCTAAGACTTTCACAACTAGAGAGGTCAATACCTGGCTTCAAAGCTCCAAAGGACAGATTGACTCTCTTGTTAGAAGCTAATGCAGCCATTGACTGCATCGGTCAATGCTCATGTATCATTCTGAAAATTCTAAGGCCCTAAATAATTAGGCTACATTCTACTCTGCCTGTGCTCTATAAATGGAACAACAAAACCTGGATGATAGTGCATCTGTTTATAGCATGGTTTACTGAATATTTTAAGCCCATTGTTGAGACCTACAGCTAAAAAAGGAGAGATTCCTTTCAAAATATTACTGTTCATTGTCAATGCACCTGGTCAGCCAAGAGCTCTGATGGAGATGTACAAGGAGATTAAAACTATTTTCATGCTTGCCAACACAACCATTCTGAAGCTTATGGATCAAGGAG